TAATGGCAATGAAATGACTATATTTGGAAAATGATCCACAACGACCATGATGCAATTAAACCCATGAGACTGCGGGAGACCCTCAACAAAGTCCATGGAGATAGACTGGCACACAGAGGATGGTACAGGAAGTGGTTGTAGTAGACCTGGATAGCGAGAGCGATTAGGTTTGGACTGCTGATATGTAGGACAAGTGGTGACGAATTGATGCACATCAGACTTCAATCTGGTCCAGGCAAATAGCTGGCGTACACGATGATAGGTAACCGGAACACCAAAATGTCCACCGACCATTGATGTATGCAGTGCCTGTATCACCTAAGCTTGCATTTTCTTGTTGTTACCAAGCCAGATGTGATCTTTGTAGCGTAAGATCCCATTCTAAAGTGTGAAATTGGGAACCACCAATGGATCAACAATCAGTTGAGCTATATAAAGTTGCGTCTGAGGATCTAAGGAGTAGCCGACCACAATTTTAGAACACCACTATGGAATTGTTGAGGACAGAGCAAAGCAAGACTCTAGAACATGTGGTCGGTGTGATAGGGCATCAGCTACATGATTCTCAGTCCCTTTCTTGTAGATGATCCGATATTGTAACCCAAGAAGCTTGGTAAAAACTTTCTACTATCAAACAGTATTCAGTCGCTTCTCGTTGAGGTGTATCAAGCTTTTCTAATCGGTAAAGATGAGGAACTCGGCAAGCTATAAATATGATCTCCATTGTTCTACTGCTAATAGGATGGCCATGTATTCTTTCTCATATGTGGAAAGACCTTGAGTGTGTGAACCCAGTGGTTTACTGATGAATGCCAAGGGGTGCCCTTGCTGCAGAAGAACAGCACCCATGCCATTGTTAGATGCATCCATTTTGATCGCAAATGGTTTGGTAAAGTCTAGAATAGCTAGGACTAGTGCTGAACTCATGGCTTGCTTCAGAGTATCAAAAGCCAGCTGGTGGTCAGAGGTCCAAATGAAATATGTGGCCTTCTTCAGCAAATTGATTAATGGCTTGCCAATCACAGCAAAGTGTCTAATGAATTTCCTATAAAAACTGGCCAAACCCAAGAAACTACAAAGTTCACGCACATTGGATAGAGTCAGCCATGTAACAATGGCTTCAACCTTAGCAGGGTCAGTGGCAATCCCTTCTGAGCTTATAATGTAGCCAAGATATGAAAGCTTTTGTTGAGCAAAGCGACACTTAGACAATTTGCTGTGACTGTAGAAGCTCAAACACTTTCCTGAGATCAATCAAATGCTGCTCATAAGTGGGACTAAAAACTAAAATGTCATCAAAGAATACTATAACACACTTGCGAAGAAGGGGTGCCAAAGTCAGATTCATGGCCTGCTGAAAAGTGTTTGGAGCCCCTGTGAGACCAAATGCCATGACCTTAAACTCAAAGTGACCGGAGTGAGTGGAGAATGTTGTTTTGTGTTCCTCACCCTCCTTCAGTCTTACTTGATGATAGCCAGCAAACAGATCCAAGATAGAAAACCAGCAAGCACCAGATAATTCATCAATGAGTTGGTCAAAAACTGGTATAGGAAAAGTCCCCTTAACTGTAAGATCATTCAAGTATCGATAGTTAACACAAAAGCGCCAAGAGCCATCTTTCTTTTGCACCAGCAACACTGGTGATGAAAAGGAAGAACTGTTGGGCTGGATTAAATCTTGCTGAAGCATTTGTGTTACTTGGTCTTCTATTTCATCTTTAAGCGCAGGTGGATATCAATATGGCCTAATATTGATTGGCCTAGCCCCTTGGACCAAAGGAATTGTATGGTCATATGGCCTTACTAGAGGGATTTCAGATGGTGGATCACACACTGATTGAAACACCTTTAAGATCTGTACTATATCAGCTGGTAACTGGGAGGCCTCATAAGCAGGTTGATTCCCCAACTGAACTGATCACAGCTGAAAGACCATGTCAGAAGACTGAAGTTCAGGAGAACCATGCAACACAACAGTTGAAGCACCCATAGGAATTTACATCCATTTGTTCCTCCAATCAACTCTCATTGGACTAAATTTCTCGAGCCAATCCATTCCAACAATAATATCATAAGAGCTTAATGGTAGGATCTTCAGAGAATAAGTAAACGAATGAGTAGCCATAGACTAACAACAATCTTCAGCAATAGCAGAACACTGTAATATATCACCATTTGTGACCTGCACTTTATGACTGGCTGGGTGCAAAGTAACAGACTACAGCTTATCAGCAACATGAGTACTAAGGAATGATGTAGTACTACCTGAATCAACAAGAACTACAATAGGCATATCCTGAATAAGGCCAGCAAAGTACATGGTGCGAGGACTAGCAACCCTAGATATAGTTTCTTGCAAAATAGCGAGGAACACATGCTCTTCGGTAGGTGATGCATCATTAGGTTCAGAAATATCTTCAGTTAGAGCAAAGAGTTCTAGTACCTCTTGCATGGCGTGTAGGAGAACAGTAGCCGCGCACTTGTGGTCACGCGACCATTTTTCTGCACACTTGTCGCAGAGGCCTCGCGCTCGATGATAGTTGCCCAGCGCACGGAGCTTGTCTTCGGCCGACTTGGCATTTGCTGGTGCAGTGAAATCAGCATCATCAGGTTTGACCTTGCGGTCTCTAGCTCCAGGCGGTGGCGGCAGAGGAAGCGTGTTCTTGAAGAACGACCGATGATATGGTGTTGAATCATGCCTACCATCCTTGTGCTGAGATGGATCAGCCATCTCTTCCTGTAAAAAGGCCAAAGTATACGCAATATCGAGATTTTGGGGGCGCTGCGTCACAACAACTGATCGTATCTCATCGCGCAACCCATCAACAAACCGAGTGGTGTAATAGAGCATGTCAATGTTTGGGTTATAGGCTTTGAGTTGATCAATCAATTCAGAGTAACGAACAACATAAATACTGTGGACTCTTGATGAATGTGAAACATGCGCCTAATCAGGATTTGGTGCTGATCGTGGCCAAACTACTCATGCAGCATGCGACAGAAGGTAGGCCAATTCAAGGATTTCAGAAGGGGTTCTATGGACTGAATCCAACGAGCAGCAGCATCCTTAAACTGTTGTTTAGAGAGTTTGAGCCACAGGTGGGGTTCGACTTGGTACATGTCAAAGTAGTCTTCGGCATTGGAAATCCAAAGCCCGACATTCTCACCATGGAAGGTCAGGAACGGAAACTTAGGTAAGCGACCAGGTGGCCAGGGATTGGGATTAGGGGGTTTGTTGTGCGCGGTATACAGATCATAAGCGGTACCGTGAAACTTGGGAGATGAGTTCATACCATTGGCCGAGCAGCTGTGTGACCAGCAGATGCGCGCTGGTTGGTCTGCTCCAGATGTGGTGGTGACGAGATCAAGCCCAGAGCGGATGTAGATTGCTCAATCACGGACCGATCCTAGTGCTTGTTCAGCTTGAGTACCTTCAGGCACATATCGTCGAGCACTCCCTCGGTGTCGTGGCACCAACTCTCCAGCCCGTTGGTAGCCGCTTCGATGGCCTTGAGATGATCATCCTGGCGGCGTTCAGCTTCAGAGATGCGGCTGTCGATGCGGGTCTCCGTGTCAATGATGCTGCTGTCGATGCGGTTCTCCGATTCGATGATGCGATGCTCGACCGACTGCTCCGAATCGGCGAAGCGCCGATCCAGCAGCTTGATTCTGCTCCTTGAACAGCCTCTGCATCTCTGCCATCAATTGTTGTCCCTCGGGGCTCATGGCTCCTAGCTTCCTCGCGAATCTGGTGTGGTGGCGGTGGTGGTGGCGGTGGTGGTGGTGGTGGTGGTGTCCTCGCCAGATCGGGAAATTCGCCACAAATCGAAGAATGGGCCTACGGAATTACAGGAACTCACCGGCATCCAGCAGCTCACTGTCCACCGGGAACTCAAACCGACCGACGACGATTGCTCTCACGATCGATGGGGTAAGGAATTTCACCGATCAGGAATTGAATTGTCTCTGATACCAAGTTTGTTAGGGTAACTGAATTGGGGATGAGAAGGGAAGATAGACTTGGGGAAGGAGGAAGCAAAGCATGGGGATAGGCGAGAGGAAGGGTTCTTAGATTGGGTTTGTTTTAGAGTTCAATACATGTTGTCTCTCTCTGAGTAGAGCTCCTCCCTTTATATATCCGGCTTGCCGGTGGGTTGTCCCAGCAGCACAGTTGCTTCTACTGCCTAGGGATCAAAGCCCATTGAGGCCCAGTAGTACGAGTACTTGGAAACGTGGCACGTTCGCTCCTCCTCTGTGTTGTTGCCGGACGGGCTACAGTAGACGTGCTGGCTTCAGCTGTAGCCTCTGCAGGTTCTTGAGACAGTGCAGGTGAAGTAGGCGCTGCCGTAACATAGTGGCCGTAGCCAACGCCCGTCTGGTTGTGCAGGTTTACGTTCGCGGAGGGAGGATAGTAATAACCGGCGGCTGCGTTCCAGTGATTCTGGTTGACGCCGTGCGTGTACGGGTGTTGCTCTTGGTAGCCGCCGCCGGCTACTCCACTCCATTGCTGGGCCGCCTGGGCGACGTACTGATTCTTAAAAGAACTATAGGGAGAGCAACCTTGGTTGAACAGTATTATCCTTTTGCACGCACATAGGGAAGACTACTTTATTGATCTGGTGTGATCGACTTGCTTAGGGAAGGTTGAGAACTTTTCTTTTCCTTTCAAAAAGGAATCAATGGCTAACGTAGGCTATCCAACGGAAGTCCCGAGCGGCGAAACAACCTATAAGTAATAAAAAGAAGTCTAATAATGAAGAAGATATGTTTGCTATAGGCACACAGCTGTATAGCTGGTTGGCAAAGAAAAAATTAGTAGGTATCAAAAAATCTCTTGAGTTGAATAAGAAGACCAAGAAGCAGAAGAACTTTTCTTCTATATTCGCTATTTATGAGGCGGCCATGGATGGTGGTTCTGGTAGCTGACCCCATTCCAGTGGCTCATATTTTGCTGGGGTACTGGCTGTGGAGGAGGACAGCTTCTGCTTAATCCTGTTGCATCATGTAGATGATGATTGACGGCGTGAGCATTTGGATGGTTGCCGGCGCCACTGCACTGACTGGCCGAAGTCTTGCTGGGGAGGAACCTGAGGAAGAAGGCTGCAGCTTCCGGTTGGTCTTGCAACAACATTATTAGCAGGGCTCACGTCAGCTGGATTCGGACGGTCGCTGGCTCCATCAGACTGTTTGATGACTGGCCGCGGTGGGAGGCAATTGCTGTGGCGCCTTGCCGGCGGTGGCAACGGGCCACTTGAGTCGCTGCTGCATTCCTCATTGCTCTCAGCACCATGCTCCCTAATTGAACGATGGTCTTCTTGAGCTTTTAGCTCCAGCGTCAGGCGTCGGACTGCATCTCGAGGTTTGTCCTTATGTGGACATGAGGCTTCCTCAGCGCTTGACCTGAAGTATATATAGAGAAAGTTCAGTCAACGATTTGCACGAAAAACTAACTTTGTGTGTTGTTTGCCACAATTAGGTGGCAACATACACTTCTTTAAATAAAATGAGACAAAATAAAATTTACTTACTGTCGTGTTTTCAGAGGATCCGCGGAGTCCTTCAGTTTTGTGGTTTGGCTTGAATCTGCTGCACATGAACAAAACAGAGTTATTAGATCACCAAAAAAATAAACAAGCTAGGAGTAGTAAACAACGAGAACTGTATATATACAGTTTGTTTCACATAACTGTTTATGTATAATTATATATACAGTTAACAGCACATAAGCATGCATGTTCATGAGGAAGGCAGCTCAGATCAGAAGTTACCTGGATCCATATTCAGATACTTGGACAATGAACAAAGATGGTAATTATAAGTGCAGGGGTCATGTCTGTCACAGGAATACGCTCCAAGTGCTGTCAGTAGCGTCTTCTTTCCAAGGTCAACAGCGACCATCCAAGCCTTTGAATCATTAATTTTCGCCACGGTCCAGAGGTAAACAAGATCATCGACGTCGGTGCTCAGGGTGGGCCGGGAAAGCCGAGTACATGTTCCTGAACTTGAAGAAGCTCTCGTCATGTTCGTCCCCTACCCCAGACCTCAACGACGAAGTAATCATGTCGTCGACTGCAATATCGTCAACGTCGATAATGCATCCCTTGTGCCAGCAGTCGGACGACACTGCCGGCCGGCTCCATGTCACCATCCTCCAGCAGTCCCTTTTCCGGACCTGCTTGGGCTTCGTGTCCACCAATTTCCTCTTGCGCGACATGATCAGGTCCGAGTCGAGGAGCACAGCCTTCTCGCTGGGGTCGGTCGGCTCCTCCGGCGCCGGACAAATCGTCGTCACAATCCAGCGGTGCTCCATCTCCACGAACTTGAGCACGCCGTTGCTGAAGGCGACATCCCGGAACCGCCACGCGGGGTCTCCCGGGTGGAACTTCTTCAGCTTCTTCCGGTTAGCCGGCATCGGCTGCGGCAACGGGATGAAACGGACGTCCAAGGGCTGGCGAAGCAAGTCGCACACCGCGACGCCTACCCGCAAGTCCACCCAGCCGACCACGCCGTCTCCAAGTGGGATCACCTTGTCGGGTAAAATGTCGTGGACGTCGGGACACGCGTCGGGCAGCGGCTTGATGCTCCATGTCTGATCCGCGGACGAGTAGATATGGAGGTCGTACTTGAACGGGGGCTTGAAGTTAGCAATAGAGCGACCGGCGAGGAGGTAATGGCCCCCGTCGCCGAGGGGCACGACGGCGAGCTGCTTATACAGCAGCAAACGGTGGTGAGTGCCGGGGCGCCTGACGTGTTCCAGCGAAGGGGAGTCAGGGTCGGCCTTGTACATGAAGTACTCGTCGTCGTCGTGTCCGGCGTGAGCGAAGCGGACCCAGAGAAGGGCGAAGCGGCCCTCCGCGCCGACCACGCGCGGCTCGAACGCGAAGGCAGGGTCATCGGGTTTGGAGCAGGGGCAGTGCACGCAGAAGTAGGACATGGCCGGCGGGTCGGCGGCATACAAGGAGACCTGGATGGTGTGGCCCAGCCTCGACGTGGCTGTGGCCGTGGTCGCGTTCCGTCGGTCCGCGATGTACGTGTCCAGGTCGAGGAGGATCCAGGGCGGCGGCCGGCTGCCGGCCGTGGCGCCGCGGTCCGCCGGCGGGGTGAAAGATTCCGGGAAGATCATCGATCCGGCCATCCGGGGTCGTTGGGATCGGCGAGCGCGGGGATCTGGCGGCTTTTGCCGGTCGGGGAGCGCAGGTTTTTGAGTTACTAGGTCAAGGACTCGACTGCCGTATTGGGATTTGGGACGCGACAACCTCACCTGCGCGGCTGCGCCGCCGCCACAGAGTTTTATATGGCTAGCGCGATTCGTCACCAACTCACCGAGAACATATGGTACTCTTAGTTTGCTGATAGCGGAAATGTTATATAACAGCCGTATGTTTTAGCTCCCGGGCACACTCAAATTTGAGACTTTAGCATTTCACTCATCATGAGAAACGGGTTTCGCAGTTTTATCATCCTCAAAGTGGTTTCGTAATTTTACCATTATAAAACAGATGTAACCCGTTGAAATATACTTTGTGTAGTTTTTATTCGTGAAAAAAAAAGAGACGTCGGCTTCCATTCCTATCTCTGGCATTGTTACTTTTGTTCCATCAGAACAGATCGAACAAAACGGATCGGCCCTCTCCTCCATCCCCAACGCTGGCCTTCCCCTGCGAAACCCGTTTCTCATGATGGGTGAAATGCCAAAGTCTACGAATTTTTTTTCAGCGGTATGCGCCGCTGCCTCGCCAGCACCCTCGCCCGCGTCCGCTCCAGCGCCAGTGCCCACACCCGCTTGTCCCCAGCCCGCGCCGCTGCTGCACCCGGCATCGGAAACCAACTCCCGTGAACTTTTTCTTCCTCAACTCCGGCACCACCCCAAAATTTTGTCTCTGTTCTTTCATAGAAAAAAATTGTTACTTGTGATCTGTGATTTGTGCCAAGAAGGAAGATAAACAGTAACTAGAGATAGGATGAAGATGAATAGTAACCATGTGGAAAAATTCTGAGTGTGACCAGGTGCTAAAACACACGATTGTGAGGTAGATAGACTCGGGACTCGTTATACGTATCTACGTATCTGGACAAAATTCAAAATTGTTTATATCTATACTAGGGGCTGTTGTGTAAACAAAGAACGTATTTGGACCAAATTCACAATTGTTTATATATATACTAGACGCTGTTGTGTAAACAAAGGACCTTAATCCTAGCCCGTTTTTTATAGATTTTTCCTAAATTTTTAGATAAATAGTCATAATATATGTGGAAGTTTTACATGTAATTATCAATATTCAGATAATAAAGAATAGTTCATCTATACTTTGTACTTTAATTTGTGTTCTTCTGCTGAACCGACATTCTACAAGGTATAGAAAATGATCACATCTCGCACATTGACCCTGTTTTTGGAGGAAGAGGAGGGGTGATAGGGAATGGAGGGGGGGGGGGACCAAGGATAATTGGGCGTGAAAAAAAAATGTGTGCTGATGCAAACCTATCTATGCATGGTAATACAAGATAAGTTATTCAGCTAAATATTTTACCAAAATATTTCTAGCTCCACCAATGAAGCTGCCCATGAAACCGAAGGAAAAAAAAAGGCTACTAATAGTCAAATTTCAAAAGTTCAACCGGATTTTAATGAAAGCGACATGCGAACTTGCTCTGAAACAACATCAAATCTGAAATCAACATTATTACACCATTTATTTATTAAGAACTGCTCCGGTACTTCTCTTTGTAAAAACTAGTTCACGCGTGTTCCGACGACTGAGTTGATGCAGACGACGTATGGCCTAGGATGAGTGTCTAAGTGGTACGTACGTACAGCGGTATAGAAATGACACGTAAGTACCATGAGCTGAGCTCCGTCAGGTAAAGGAGACAATGCCTTGCTGCATCATTTCCTTGAGGCTCCATCCAGGGTCGCCGGCGTCGTCGTTCCTGTAGGTCCAGTACGCCCACCCGAAGGACGCAGCGCCGAACACGTCCAGCTGCGCCTGGGCGAACCTGCAGCAGTCGTCTCCGCTCGCGCCGCCGCGGGGCTTGTTCGCCCACCCCGCCGCCCACTCGCCGACGAGCACGGGCGGGCCGTCCTCCCTCTGCATGCCGCCCAGCTCCGCCGCCCACTCCTGACGTAGCGGATGTTGTCCTCCAGCGTCATGTGGTCGAAGGTGTCGCTGTAGAGGTTGTAGTAGTGCACGTCCACGACGTGCCTGCGGAAGCCGCCGGCGCCGCCAGAATTGGCGGCGATGACGCCGAGGATCTCCGGAGGGTCGCGCGACAGCCGCGCGGACATGATCACGTACGCGTCCGCCGTGTGCTCCCGGACGGCGCTGTAGTAGGTGCCCAGCGTCTGGAGTGGGATGCTGTCGCTCGGTTCGTTGAGGACCTCGATAGCCAGCAGGCTGTCTCGTGAACAATATCTACAGTAAATGCGCGTCCAACGGATTGTTGCCTCGGTTTTGTCCGCGTCCGTCGGATCTGCAACCGTGGTCGTGTCAGGTATGCGCCTGGTGTCTTCCCGGAGCAGATGACGGTGGTGCAGCCGAGGGTGATGATGACAGCGGCAGGTGGTGGTGTAGTCTTGTCCCAGTCTTGTCGGAGGCAGGTGGTGATGACGGCGGGCAGCCGGGCAGGCCGATGTGTTATAGAAAAAAATTGTTTGGATATGTGATTTTGTTATTTATGATTGTCTGGAAATAGAAGAAAGATGGAGATTGTTGGATCTCAATTCTATGATATAAAAAAATTTATATGTTGAAACTACATAAAACATATAGTTATTGGGTAGACAAACTCAAATTAAAAGGAGAGAATGGCGTGGTTCAGAGAGTATTCTATTGACAGCTACTAGTAGCTCGATCTCAGTCTCAGCTGATGATCGATGGGTCTGTCCGAAGAAGAGGAAACCTGTCGGCGAGCGAGGCGATGGCTGCACTGTGCGCTGGATGTTTGCGTCGGTGGGCCAGAGCAACGAGCCATCCCTTGAGCCGCTGTGGTCGTGGCCGTTCTGCGAGCCAGGAGCTGCGTGGGGATCCAGGATGACGCCCAAACTGTAGTCGCTGCGGATCGGATACCAATGGTTTGTTTATCAGATGCTCAGGCGTGGCACAGAGACAGACAGACAGACGACACAATCGATGCTCTCACAACAATTTAAATTTTAATGTGGCAACCGTTTTCATCAAGTTTTGCAGACCAAGACAGACGACACACGTGATGCTTTACTCTGCCCAATCGAAGGCCTTGTCTAGCATCTCCAGGTAACCCGGATAGAAAGGAGAATGGCAACTGGTGGCCTCCGGTGAGCCTTCTTGCTCGATGCTCGGTGATCCGCCACGCCACCGGGATCCGCACAGCGTTCAGCCATAGCGACGAGATGTAGATGAAGTCCTCCTCACGTATGAAGGTTTCCCAGTGTTGCTGGACATGCACAACAGAAGGGAAATATCCATCCGTTCGGATTAATTAATTAGCCCAGCTTGAATATATATTCGTCCATTTAATTGGCGATTTTCATCAAGATTATTCGTAGGCTTTTAGGAAAAGACAAGGATATGTGGATGTACTTGTACGTGTAATTTTTTTTTTAAAAAACGCATGCCTTGAGGACGGTCGTAGCTGTACGTTCGCTTCGTTGAAAAGATAAACTGAAAATACTATTTATTAATTTATTATAAGTCAAATAAAATTCTCTGGAAGTCAAAGTTTTTTCAAGTTTGACCAAATTTATATAACAAAAGCATAATATTCCGTATCATTGCAGAGTGAAACTCATTAGATTCTCCGCTGGTTATATCATGATATTACACCGAAGGGTCAGTGTCGTCAATCTTTGTATTTCTAAACCATAATCTGCGGTCAACGCATCCGCCAAGTTTGACTTCTAGGCCTCTTGAAATGATTACCTTTTGAATTGGAAATTTTTTAATTCTTTCTATCAAATCTTTTGATTCTCTCGCTGAAAAAGTTTAAATGTATAAAAAAATAATTAACAGGCCAGCATTCAGTCCGTAGTAGTTGCAGAGCTGAAACTCGCCTGACATCCGCTGGTGAACCGTCATGAGGAACACCGAAGGGTCAGTGTCGTCCCAGCTCGTACTTTCTAAACCATAATCTGCGGTCAACGCATCCGCCATACCTGTGGCCTAGTATACCATGACATGCGTGGAACGAACAATTATGACATGAACGGCCCACAAGGCCAGAAATCAGCATAGGTGAATTGAAAACGATTGACCCAGTAGAGCACCTGTAAGAATCTTCCGTTGGGCGCCTTTATCCTGACTTTGCTTCCGTTGGTAATGAATTCCAAGTCGTGGGCGTTTCTGGGGTGGTCGGTCTCGGCGGCGACCACGGTCCTGCCGTCCTTGCCGATGCCGACGAACTGGCCGCCGCCGCCCAAGACACGGAGCCTGAACTTGTTGGAGTCAGTGGCGCCTGGCCGTCGCCAGATCTGGCAGCAGTAGGCCGGCCGGTTATTAGCCCCCAGTTGTAAATCATCAGGCAAGGCAGGCACTGATCGAGCCACTGATGCAATAAGCGTACAGAGAGGACTGAAAGAGATATTCAGAGCGGAGGAAGCTCACCCTGAAAGTCTCCCACGACGAAGCCTCGGTCTGTTTTCAGACGACGACCGCGCCGCCGCCGCCACCCGTGGCGCTCTAGTAGGCGTTCTTACTCGAGGACTTGATGAAGATCTGCGTGCCATCCTGCGTTGCGGGCTGACACACGTACCTTACGTGTGTGTATATATATACAGTATACAACTATAACTCCATTGATCCATTATGTATATACGCAGGCTGGTGACATAAGTATATACGCATGCACAAACCAGGAGGACGTTGTCCGGTATGTCGCGAAACGGAGAAGGCTTAATCCAGCCTTCGACCACGAGCCACCCTCCAAGATCGACAGCCTTGATGGGCGGCGTTGTGGGAGCAGCAGCGGCAAAGGGCAACGGCGACGCAGGTGTTCATCCCAGTACACAGCAGCACGCGATGGCCATGGCGGCGGCGACAAGCAACGGCAGGCACCTCCGGCGTGGCCGCCGTGCCACCGCGCTCATGTGCATGTCGTCCATTGCCATGGCTTCACTCACAAACACCCAGCTTGCTTGCTTGGGACGGATCTATCGGAGCTCATACGTATACGTACGGGTATATAAAGGATGGGAGGCAAGGAGCGATCGAGGTGAAGGAGCTGGCCAGAACCGGGGCTTACACGTTGTAGAAGACCCGGCGGCCAAGACCCAGAGTCAAGTAAGTCAAGTCAATGCATGCAACTAGTATAGTACTAGACGTACATAGGAGCCTAGAGTTGACGAGATCACACCGGAAAACCCCACCTTAATTAGCGCCAAGCCGCTAATGCAGAATGGTCAGACGTCTAAGGATTATATTGTACACATGCACGGTGGCATGCAACTCATATCTTTGCCTAGCTAATTCCTATGATGGTATTATTGGCGTCTTTGGATTACGACCAGCCAGAGAAAAAAAAATCACTGGAAATGGTCCTTATCGGATAACCATGGTCACCTAGCACGAATTCACGCCAAATGGGCATGTGCAATCACCTAATGCATGGAGCTGCTACATAGATTTAGATGTAATAGTTGGAAAGAAAAATACAACTCTCTTAGACGTTAGATGAATTCACGACAAATGAACATGTGCAATAATTTAATCCATGGAGCTGCTACATAGATTTAGAGAGGAAGGAGGAGAGAGAAAACGGCTCCGGTGAACAGTGGCACCCTGTCGGCGCGTGGGAGGCCGACAGATGAACAGTGCTGGAACCGGCACCCGCGGGAGCCGTGCCAAACGGGTTAACTGGAAGATACCCTACGCGTTGACGTGGGGATTAACGTGGACAGTATCACGAGAATCGTCCCGAGAGCCTGAAAATTGGAGACCTTTGGAGTGAGCGCAGCGATCATATTGCTGCCTGGCGTAGGAGCTGCCTAGGAGGCCGTCATCCCAAGTCCCATCAGCCCCGTATGCATTTTATGGATCTCCCCCTCTTCCTCCTTGCCATCATGCCATGGCAGCAGCTTCCCGTCTTCCACTGTTATTTTCGCTCTGGTACTCAAAACCTCGCTCATTGAGACCCCTATGCTCCAAAAGCTCCCGAGTAGGGTTCGGCCCATAAGTCAAGGTAAAAAAAACATGTTTCATGTTTACCGATGTATCAAATCAGATCTTAAGTAGATTCGCTTCCAACAACGAACCCAAGGCACACCATCACCGTCAGTCAACCACACACATAAGAGGCTTATTATGAATCAACCTTCAACATTAAGTGTGCAAAGGACAACATGCCATGTTTACAATCACAGCGTCAAACCCCTCAGGTAAATTCATCAGAGGCTTTTGAATCACTGGTTTATTTGAGTTCAACAGGCATTCCCATATAACATGATTGCACGAAAAGAAAGAAAATCAAAAGACACTACATGAAGCATTCCAGAGTATGCTCGTAACACTTCACGCAGCATTATCGCTAAGCACAAGTTTTCACAAAAAGAAGGCAGAAGCAAGGTGCCCGCGCTTCTTGCTAGTTGGAAGGTCCTTCAGTATTCCTTCTTGCCAAAGTTTTTGCACCACAGTTGAGATGGAATTGGGCGAACTGGGTGATGCGGGCGTTGCTGCATGAAAGTATTATATTACATTTGTTAGCACTGAGATTTCCACAATCTATTTTAAAACAAAATGACAAACACATTAAGTCAGTATGCCTGTCTCTTAGCGACATGGCTCCAGCCTGAACAAACAAGGCCAAGCTCTGGAACCTGAACCATATAACACAAACTGCAGTTCCTTATTGTTATTTCATACATAGATGATTTCAGTCAAGCTGTCTGTGGCCTTAGTGCCACCCTGTACATAAAACTCTTTTCCCCTTAATTGAATAGCAGAGCTCCTGCCCTTGCTTTAAAAAAAAAAAAAAGATTTCAGTGAAGCAGATATTCAGTTTAGCATGCATTCATAGCCCACTTTACATAAAACTAATAATACGAAAATTTCAGATTGTTCTAAAAGTGAAATAATACATTTCTCAAATTGGAAAAGAAAAAATTTGCACAAATGCAGCACATTTTTCAGAGGAGTGACTCTACTCAGTTCAGGGGGCAGAGCTACATGCATTTGTTGGGGTCAGCTGATCCCAATGGAATTTGCTAATCCTTCTATAATTATACCATAAGAACGTTAAATCACTGCTTCAAAGTACATAAGATTGCAAACTAGATCCCAATGACCCCGGTGATATAAATTTCTAGCTTCACCCCTGGCTCAGTTTATCACAATCTCACATGTGCACAACATGCCATTCAAGACATGGGTGAAGTTTCTAACACATCAAACAATGACAAACCAAATGCTCCATAATTTAATTGTTCACCTAGCTTCAGTCACATTATTTGCACCTTTGCCATACCCAAAGTAGTAGGACAAATCCATGTTTCAGCACATTTGCTCAGAACAGAAAATGCACATTCCTACATTGGCTATTTCCATTCTCTGTGAAACCTATCATACATCTGTAAAACTCTTTTCAGAAATAAGTCGATTATGTGCTTTGCTTCCACTAGGTTACCTACATGTGCATCGAGAGCCACCCTCATGCCTGTTATAAGTAGTCTAAAATCCTTTTGGACCTTAGAAAGCACAAATGCTCCATTTAACTTCCTGGTGAATGCTTTTTTCACAAAATATATAAATGAATTGCTTGACTTGTAACGATGTTTACATGATAATTCTGCTAATTTTTTCCAGTGTTCTAAAATCATGGCCGCTAGGTGGGCAGCAGGATGGCACCCAGTAGAGACAAGTGAGAGCAGGTCAGCCATGAACTTAGAAAAATTACAAGAAACAGTACAAGATGGTTAGCGCCCATATTCTACATATGGCTTACATTCTGATTGTTCATTATGTATATCATTGGCACTAGTCCCCGAGAAATGAATTTGCATGAAATTGCAGCATCTCACTCCCCTATATCCTCCATCATCCCATATATTCATTAGCTATCTAGAGAGCATGCATCATGGCTATCAGAGAATTTTAGTGGAATTACTTCTACGTGCTATTTGATCCATTAGCATCTGTGTGCACCTGTTGTGCATACCAGGCTTATAAATGGAAACAAGCACACTCGTCACAACTTAACCACAGATCATTTCAGTAGACAGAAAATAGCAGGAGTTTAAAAGAAACCATTCTAGCCAGCCCACTCCAATGAAGTAACATCATATTTTGAAACTGCATTTAGGGATGTAAGCGGGTACTCAATGGTGTTTTGGGGTTCAGCTAATTAATTACGTGGTATTTCCTTTTAGTTCATCCCCCCCACCCCACCCCCACCCCCTGCTAAATTAATTGTTTGCAAAAATGACACTTCGAAAGATTGACTCCTTGATTATGATGACACTAATGATTATCTGTCTATTGGGTCCAGGTCTACAAACGGCCATTTTAGTTCATTCTCACCCGCAAAATTTGGGTTCATTCTAGCAAATTTGACCGACCGAAAATAAGTGGAACTTCCATCACGAACTGCATTCCACGGCAATAATAGATCAAGGATTCAAGGGGCACTTCCAACAGGATCACAAGCATTGGCACTGTCACAAGTTTGGAATTTTACAGCTAAATGAAGAGCAAAAGCACCCTATTAACGAACCGGTCATTACATCCGCATTCGAATTGAGTGCTGTACCGAATGGGTAAGCTGTTCCTAGTTCCAAAGACAAGAAATCTCACTATAAAGAACTCCGAAATATTGAGACGTTTCGCCGCAGATCTAATATCTATGATAGACCAAGTGTCCGCTCAAATCCTCAAGACCATGTACGCTAAGGAGAAGTCGCAGGGTCAGAGTCTGGGTGATGGGGATACGCATGTATACCTCGAGCTCGGCGGACTTCATGGCGATGGGGATGCAGATGAGGAAGACGCCGAACATGGCGATGGCGGTGTTACGGCGCCAGTGGACTGGGCGGCAGTAGGGCCCGCCCGTCATGCTCCATACCTTCTGGCGGAAGTCGCCGCCTGCATGCCCACCGCCATGATCGCCGCCCATCGCCGCCGCCGCGTTCGATTCAATCAGATCAGTGATTGGTTCGGTGCGGGGGGGGCGGCGATGTCTCGATGGGGAATTGGTTGTACAGTGATTTTGCGCAAGAGACCCTGGATTTCAGTATTATATTCTACCATTTGATGAAGGCTGCGTATTGTGTTGATCAGTGCCATTATAATTTTCGGGTTTGGAGAAACGTTTACTATTCGTTTATTTTGAAGAGACCTTCGTTTCCCACAAAATGTGCAGATTTCAGTAATTATATTCCAACACTACCATTTGGGAAATTTTGAAGTTCTGCTGGAGCTCGTACGTTGTGCCGCTGCGTCATGTCCTTTTGAAATGGAGAGAGAGAGAGGAGAGGAGGAAGAAAGAAGCGACAACCAGCCTTCCGGCCCTAGGGAAATTTTCTTCGAAAATGAACTCAGCTTTCTTCCATTTGAAACCTTGACGCTTACGCGAGGACTGGTTTCCCTTGTGTTGCCGTGCGGTCGCGAGCGATACATATGCTGTCGTTTCAAGTGTGAAATAAACTACCTCCGTGGAGCATCTACACGAACCTCCCAAGTTCAGGACCTTTTCCACCGTGGTCGGATCTCGGAGGTGGCCCGGAAGGATGTTAAACCATGGATATGTATGGCTTCGATATGATCCGTATTTTGGACTAGACGGTGGCTCGCCTGTGGACGTGGGCTGCGTCAGACGAGAGAGAGAGAGAGAGAGAGAGGGAGGAGGAAGAAGAAGATGACATGGGGGCCAGCGTGCTGATTTTGAAGTATACGTTTTCATATCGCTAATGTTTGCGCCAAAAGCGTTTTTTTCAAAGTGGCATTTTTGTGGGAAACGAAGAATTGTAATATAGACGAATAGTAATGACGTTTCTCCAAACTTCAAAAATTATAATGGCATGAATCCAAATAACCCTTTTTGGAATGCTGGAATTAAAAGGGAACTCAGTTTTCTTCGAAATTTGATGCATTACCTGGTTTCAAGTGTGAAATAAACTACTCAACTGCATCCAACACATTTTGCATTTCTAAAATCAAGCTTCAATTTTAAATTTGTTACTTCCTCCGTCCCAAATTATATAAAACGTTTTGGCATTTTGTAGATTCATAGCTTTTTTTACTATGTATATGGACATAACATACATCTATGTGTGTAGCAAAAGTTATGGATCTAGAAAAACTAAATTGTCTTATAATTTGAAACGGAGGGAGCAAGGTCTCAAGTCTTAACATTTGACGTGAATACAGGAAACAAAACAAAATTGTTCCGATTTGAATTTTATTAAACGTGAATGAAAATATCTTTCCCAGCGAAAACCAAGGATTATACAGAAGGTACTCATGATGTTAACCCAGAAAAATGCAGTTTTGCATGACCAGCCTATAATATAGCATTGCAGCTTTCAGAAAAATAAATTGCATTGGTCGCATGAATTATCAACATCAACAAAGTTGTTCCTCGGTTAGAGCAACTTTTTTGGGGTAACAAAACCGTAAATTTGAATATGTAACACAAGAGATTTGACCCAAGTAAACCAGGTACGATGAGACTAACCACTGTGGTTCCTACCCCTGTGAGACCTAACAAGCTCTTTGCCTCTTCCAGAATTACATGTGTAAAATACAATAGTACAATGACAAGGGGCAAAATCACAAGAAAGATACACCAAATCAACATAAGTATGCAATCCGTTATTATCCCATACTAGAACCTAGGATCACTTGTCGGGATTCTTGCAGCTCCCTGCATAAGATTTGTACGCCGTTTCCGGTAATATACAAACGGGCCACTTACTAACAACATCCCGCCCATCATTACCTGGAAAAGAACATAACTTTATGATTCATGCTTTAAGAAACAACAACAAATTTGTGTTGGATTCTCATTGACAAATGAAGATTAAAAAGAAAACAAGCCATCAACAAGATGTTACATTTTAGTGCAGAAGAACGAGCAAGATTGTGCTACAACTACAAAGGTAGTGCAACTCATGCTTTGAACTTTACAGTACACAGCTACACAGGCACGCTTTCACTTGGATGTTTAAATTTCACAAGTATTTGGAATTTATCAAACATCATGCTCAGAACAAAAAGCTCTAGATAAGTAGATATCTACTATCACAGCTGCAAAGAAAAGTAAGGTCTGCTTGCATGTTTAAGGGCATGATTCAGAGCCGAGTTTTGCAAGTATAATGAAATTAGCCCAGAAATGCTTATCAATTTACTAAGATTTTTCTCCAGTTTTCTTCCACTGTTATTTCTTACTATCAATTCTTTGGTCTCAGTCTGTGTCCAGCTTGCTAGGCAGTGATGGCAGCGGTTGCGGTTGCGGCTGCAGCTGCAGCTGCATTTCCCGCAGCCATCAGTGCCAAGCTCTCCCGACGCATTAACATTAGGAAAAACAAGTAACATTATAGAGTAAATAAAGATTTCATGATAGAAGTCCAACAATATCTGTAATAAATAATAGAAGAGAAAAGTTTTGCAATTTTAATACCTCAAAACCAAGAACAGATAACTTCTCTTCTCCAACCAATGGCACACAACTTCTGTAAGTAATATAATGCTTTGCGGATTTTGTGCCACCTGATGTTGATGCATCATCCAATATCTTCCTCTGCTTGCTCTTGTTTCCTTCTTTTGTAGCATTTTGTGCCTCTACACATTTCAAGGGCAGGCGATAGCCAGTTTCGCTGCAGCTATACTTTTCATCATTCTGCAAAAATGATATGTTATTGTCAGGCCGGTAGAACCTGTACAATGGGAAACAAATACACAAGCATGAAAATTGCATTAGTTAGCATTTAACCGGTTTTAGGGCTAATACCAGTTTACACTTCCAGCAATTTTTACAGGCCACGCTAAAAAAATGTTTGGATGAGTTATAAATCTAATAATTTTACACCTTTATTTGAGCTTTTCAACTGGAAAAAAAAAATCACCTCAGTGGACCACATTTATTTTCTGACCGAAATCAGGCTCACCTCGCTCTTCCTTTCTCGTTACCCTGGATGAGTTATAAATCTAATAATTGTACACATGTATTTGAGCTTTTTGACTGGAAAAAAAATCACCACAGTGGACTACACTAATTCCCGTGACCTGTCTGTTTACCTCCCTTCGAGACTCTCTCACACATCGAGCGTGGCCAGAGGTGGCAAGCCTGCCAGCTGTGAACCCGTTAGAGCGGCAAAGCTCAACCAGCAGCCATGAGGCCTGCCTTGAGTTGGCGTGCTCAGCCAGTGGGTGTGAGGCCCAGGTTGAGAGGCTCCAGCTCTTCATGACTGCCAACCCAAGTGGCACTACAGTGAGCCTGAGTCAGCTGGCAAGGGTGTCAGGCACCAAGTCTGCACAGTGGCAAGTTCGTGGCAAGGTAATGATCCCACACATTGGTGTCCTTCAGTTCACAACCATTCCTCAACAGATCTGCCAGTGCCACTGCAAGCTCCCAAAGCCTCTGATCTCCATTATTTCCCCACCACTTCATTTAGCTTATTTGTTTTTTCTTTTGTTTTTCCCTGCTTTGCAGCATCAGTTGAGAAGGGAAAGAATTCCATCACTTACCCAAACAACTCTTTTACAAGGGCACAGGTTTTCTTGTGCACCAATTACACCTGGAAGTCATTTACATGTTTAGAAGATTATAAATCTACCAAACAGGGCCTAAATGATGTTACATGGTTGTTAACTGTAATCTGAGCACAGGCTTGATATATGTACTAAATGTCAACTCAATTAAGTAGATACAAAAAAAGCACCAGCTAAAAGTAGATAGACCTGCCAAGCAAGGAGATTGTGACTGTTTGCCACATGTATTTGCACATACTATCATCCAACTTAAATTTCCTAGATGTCATATATGCATATATGGATAAGCACGGACATTTCTACTGCTTACTGACCATGGAAAATTCATGTTGCCCCAATTCTGAGCAAATCATGGTCTATCAAAAAAATAATAGACCAATGTATTCAGTAGGTTGCCAGTTTTCCCAAACAGATCGTGCGGAAAATTAGTGTAACTATAAGCCTATTTTCTGAATATATTATGGGACCATTTTAAGGTCATATTTTTTCAATGACAAGCAATTCTGAAACTTGAACCAAGGAACCATTATCGATATGACAGAATTGATAAGATGGAGGGGGAGTATAAGCGTGAGGGGCTGAGGGCGAGAGTTGATGGTTAGGAATCTGACCAATCTTATAAGGTGACATGTATGGGTCTATAAGATAACCTTGTCTGAAGTTGTAATATCTTTTTGGTAAGTCAAACCACTTCCACAGGAAGATTAATTTAGCAATCAAAGAAAAGAAATATTTTGTATGAGGGGATAGCACTCATGTAATCCTATTGATTTTGAAACAGTTTGTAATCTGTGAGGCCAAAAAAGAGGCAGCATAGAAACTAAGGTTCAACCATCAGTTCCGCTGGAGAAACTTTGCATTCTATGCACAACTTATATGACATCAAGATGCACACTTCATTGTTGTTTTCAACAAAAAGGTGGGGCACAAAGAAATCTTTGGAGTAACTTGAAGCATAGAAATTCCCTACTTGGTACAAATGATCTCCACATCCCTCAATCCACAATATCCCCCTTATTTTTGAACACATACTAAGTATTATATCACACATTTTGACATACATGTTGTAGCATAAACCAGAAAAATCAGGATATGGAGGTACCAGACAATGTGATTGACAAATCAATGAAATACTAAAGGCTCCTACTTCACCAACCAAGAACTACATTTTGCGATGTCATGAAGACCGTTAAAGACCAGTGGTGTAATAATTTTACTAACGAAGCATAACTAGTGATGACATTATCCTCATCCACCTACTCCAACCACCCTGAAGAGAAGTTGTCCATTAGCAAGTCAACTAAATCCACTAGCAACTTAACATAGCTGTCATTATGTAAATCATTCAGTGACTAATGAGAATAGCTAAACATCACCAGATAATTCTTATTGCTCCATGCTACCTTAATTTTGGTTTATCTTTGTCAATGCTATCTCAATATCGATCATATCAAAACAATGAACATGAATAGGGTGAGATTGTCTGCAACTAAATTGTACCAAAACTTGAACCTGATCTTAGCCGCTGCCACGAAGCAAATTTACTAGGTAACTGTATCGAGGTAACAAAAGATAGAACATTCGCAGCAAACAGGGCTTGTATTTTGCAGTGAACTTTAACCAAGATCTGAACTTTCCATGATAAACTTTTGCCGCTCTAACCCAGTAAAACGAATCACATAAGCTACATCAGAAAAGAATAAAATAAGGAAATCACGCGATCCCCAGGTCCTATTAGAAAGACGCAACCCAAACACGATCTTCTTTTGTGACCTACCAAGATCGATTTTTTTTCTCCACGCGAAACCCCAATAAAATGCGTTCCCATAATCACAGAAGAAGAGAGAATCACCCAACCTTCTCAGAATACTGGCAGGGAACGCAGGGACCGGAGGGCGTGCAGTGGTAGGACGCGTTCCCCTGCGCCTCCACGAAGCCGAGCAGCGACCTCCGCGCTCCATTGGCCGTCGATGCGGCTGCGGCCGCCGCCGCCGCAGCGATCGCCGGAGGAATCCAGCATAGGGCGGCCACGGTGACGAGAAGCAGCAGTAGAAGCCGCCACCGCCAGGAGGTCGCCGCCGTCGCCTTGTTCGCCATGGCTTCCGCGGTTGCTGCTCTCGCCGACCTCCCTTGGTGCGGTGGCGACGCGGTGGCAAGGGGAGGTTGGACGCGCCCGTTAACCTGGTATAGTTTAAACGGGCACGTGGAAACTAATGGGCTCGAACCCGCACACCTGATTTCACAATAGCCGTGGATGTGTTTTAGGCGTTCAAAAAGTTTTTCCAAAAAATACTATATTAGCCATTACATCGAATTTTGCGATATGTGCATGAAGCATTAAATGTAGATAAAAAAAAACTAATTGTACAGTTTGGTGGGAAATCGCGAGACGAACATTTTAAGCCTAATTAGTCCATGATTGAACACTAATTGCTAAATAAAAACGAAAGTGCTATAGTAGCCAAATTCCTAAAATTCGCCCAACTAAACAAGGCCTTACATGTGTGCCGTTAAAAAAATTATAATTATTTATAAATCATTAAAAAGTTTGAGTTTTTATAGGTGCCACTGGTCTGAACTTATTTGTCCTCCGCGCCATTTCGTTCACTTTGGCTGCTAATGGTGTCAAACATATAGATGAAATGACCATTTTACTCTCAATTCAATTGGTTTTCTAGTTTTGTTCAGTTTCCTCCTATGCCACTTACTCGTCGTGTGCCGCTAGCCTCTCGTGCTCTAGGCGCTCGGTGTCGCCGAGCTCCACCTCGCCAAGGGCACGCCCACCACGACGATGGCAGGAGGATGCCGACGGCAAGCACGACCTCCCCAACCATGTCCACCACCCTCCCCACCAGCTATAGCAGCAGTGGGCGTGAAAGTGCAATCAAGCCCTAATTATAGTTTTTGGTGATAATAGCCACGTAATTAGAGAATAAATAAGATTTATCGAGATGACAAGCAGGGAATTTATATTCGATGATGCTACACGAAACGAAAGAGCCCCCAATTATAAATGTAAATGGCTTGAAACTCAAAAGAGATTTAAAATTCTTTTATATTTTGAATTTAAGTATAGAAAAAGCCGTACTATAAAGGGGGGACACAATGCTTAAGCTAATATGTGCTATCAAGTGCTCAAACAACCACAATCATCCTCAGTTTCACAGTCAATACAATCTACACTCCACTACTACACTTGTTGTCTTACGTGGTGCGGCACTGCCGCACTTGAACAGAGGCTCACCTGACCCCTTGGTCGCGGGCTCAGGTTCACCCGACCCCTTGGTCGCAGGCTCAGGTTCGCCCGACCCTTTGGGTGCGGGATCCGGCTCGCCCGACCCCTTGGTCACAGGATCCACCTCGCCCGACCCCAGGGTCGCGGGATCTGCCTCGCTCGATCCCTTGAGTGCGGGATCCGGTTTGACCGACCTCTTGGTCGCGGGATCCGGCTCGTCCGACCTCAGGGTCATGGGATCCGGCTCGCCCGACCCTGAGGTCGCGGGCTCTGTCTCGTCCGACCTTAAGGCTACGGGCTTCATCTCGCCCGACCTCTTGGGTGCGGTGTTCGTTAAGGGCTAGGGTATATATATACCTTTCTCTTTCCTCACCAATGGCTATCTATGATTTAAAGTGGTCGTTGGGGGCTGGGGGTTATATATACATTTCCTCTTCCTTTCCAACGGCAACTAACCTTCCTCTTCTTCCTCACTTGAGCACGTCCAAAGCAGAACAAGAGCTCTCTCTCTCACTCTATTGTTGACCTAAAGCCTTCAAGCAAATCCATTGATTTCCCCATCAATCCTTAAGGAAAACGGTCCAAAACTTGATTAGAGAGCAACTCCATCGATTCTCAAATTCTAAAGAGCACTTGGTTCAAGATTTGGTTGGCGGTTGTGTTTGTTATTCTTAGAGCTTGGCTCCTAGCCGGCTAGAGCGTCACCCGTGGAGCTTGCCAACTTGTGTAGCAGCCCCGGGAGGTTTATAACCATCTCTTGAAGCTAGTAAATTCACCCATCATCTCAAAAGTTAAGTCTCTTAACTTGAGAACGAGGAAGGGCTGAAAAGCTCTGAGCCTTAGTGGCTAACCTCAACAACGTGGAGGTAGACAAGCCTTCGTGGCGAGCCGAACCACAGGATAAATCATTGTGTCACTTGTGCTTGATTTACATTAATTGCATGACATATTATGGTTGAGGTGATTTCTAGAGTTTGAGGCCGATCTACTTGTGTGTGGTGTTCCCACCACTTTTAGCTGTCGATCTATGATCTACTATTCTGCAGGAAGCTAACAAATTTACCTGATCTAAATTTCGTTGGGTACTTTTTGAACTATGAAGTAATCTCTCCTACAGGTGTGGTAGTGCCGCTGTTTGGAGTGGCAGTGCCACAGGTGAATTTGACTTCGGTTTGAGTTGATTTTTTATAGGCCTGTTCACCCCTCTCTAGGCGTACCAGAGATCATACAAGTGGTATCAAAGCAAGTTACCTCGTGTGCGCTTCACCACGTGAGGTATAGAGCCTAGGGGAGGATCCGGTGTTGTGAGGCCCATCAACGTCGATCCAAAGGACGTTGGGCTACATGACACCGACAGTAGTGAGCTTAGCGCCTCTACAGCGAGCAACTCTATGCTCCCATAGCTAGAGGCAACCGATACCAAAAAAGCTCAAAATGAAGAAGAAAGAAGAAGAAAAAGGGCAGCTAGAAAAGAGAAAAAGAAGAAGGGGCAGCAACGGTTAGAAGAGAAGAAAGCAAGAAAAGAAGAAAGAAGACTCAAGAGAGAAGCTAGAAGAAAAAGAAGAGAAGCAAGAAAGAAGAAGCAACAAGAAGCAAAAGCCTTCAATGCATCTTCAAGTGAGTTATCTAGCAGCTCCAAAGATGGTGATGATGATGAGTCCTACTAAGTGCATAGCAAGAAGGACAAGAAAAGAAAGGACAAGAAGAATGATGACAACAAATATGGCACCGTATCCTTTAACTATTCTTCTATGTCTATGACTAACCATGATCGTAAGTCTTTCATCAATGTGCTCACGGGTAAGTTATCTCATTTTGTTGGGACTAACTTTGCTAAGTGAAAGCACTTGACAAGAGCCTATCTTATAGGTCTTCATCCTAGCATTTGGGAGGTTGTTTGCAATGAATTTGAGCCACCAGTTGATCCCAAGAATTCAACCATGGAAGAAATGAGAATCATCCATCTCAATGGTCAAGCTACTAGTGTGCTACTTAGTGCCTTGGATGGTGATAAGTACGATAGAGTGATTGGTGTGGACGTTGCCAAGCAAATTTGGGATACTTTGCATCTTGCACATGAAGGAGTTGACAAAGTAAGAAATGCAAGAATTGATTTGTTCATGTCCAAGCTCAACCGATTTGTTATCTTGGATGGAGAAGGGCCACAAGATATGTTTGATAGGTTGATGACCATGGTGGGCAAGATTAGATGCTATGGTTGTGATGAGCTAGATGATCACAAAGTTATCAAGATTATGTTGAAAGCTTATTCATCAAGAAATGAGACTGTAGTAACTCTAATTAGAGACAAGAAGTTTGAGTACTTCACACCAAATGATATACTTGGGAGGATCTAGCCCTTTGACATGCAAAGAGAAGAAGCAAATGAGAGGAAGAAACTTAGAGAATTACAAACAAAGTTAGAGGACATCAAGATCAAAGATGTAGCTCTCAAGGCCTACAAATCACGCAAGCAAGGCTCTACAAGCAAGTCCAAGATCAACCAACAAGCTTCAACTACCAAGCCCAAAGCAAGCAAGCAAGTTTAAGAAAGAGTAGAGACCACATCATCATTACTTGCATGACATATTATGGTTGAGGTGATTTCTAGAGTTTGAGGCCGATTTACTTGTGTGTAGTGTTCCCACCACTTTTAGCTATCGATCTATGATCTACTATTCTACAGGAAGCAAACAAATTTACCTGATCTAAATTTCGTTGGGTAGTTTTTGAACTGTGAACTAATCTCTCCTGTAGGTGTGGTAGTGCCGCTGTTTGGAGCGGTAGTGCCACGGGTGAACTTGACTTCGGTTTGAGTTGATTTTTATAGGCATATTCACCCCTCTCTAGGCGTACCAGAGATCATACAAGTGGTATCAGAGCAAGTTAACTTGTGTGTGCTTCACCACGTGAGGTATAGAGCCCAGGGGAGGATCCAGTGTTGTGAGGCCCATCAACGTCGATCCGAAGGACGTTGGGCTGCATGACACCGACAGTAGTGAGCTTAACGCCTCTACAGCGAGCAACTCCACGCTCCTGTAGCTAGAGGCAATCGATACCAAAAAAGCTCAAAATAAAGAAGAAAGAAGAAGAAGAAGGGCAGCTAGAAAAGAGAAAAGAGAAGCAAGAGAAAAAGAAGAAGAAGGAACAACAGCGGTTAGAAGAGAAGAAAGAAAGAAAAGAAGAAAGAAGACTCAAGAGATAAGCTAGAAAAAAAAGAAGAGAAGCAAGAAAGAAGAAGCAACAAGAAGCAAAAGCCTTCAATGCATCTTCAAGTGAGTTATCTAGCAGCTCCAAAGATGGTGATGATGATGAGTCCTACTAAGTGCATAGCAAGAAGGAGAAGAAAAGAAAGGACAAGAAGAATGATGACAACAAATATGTCACTGTATCCTTTAACTATTCTTCTATGTCTATGACTAACCATGATCGTAAGTCTTTCATCAATGTGCCCATGGGCAAGTTATCTTATTTTGATGGGACTAACTTTGCTAAGTGAAAGCACTTGACGAGAGCCTATCTTATAGGTCTTCATCTCAGCATTTGAGAGGTTGTTTGCAATGGATTTGAGCCACCGGTTGATCCCAAGAATCCAACCATGGAAGAAATAAGAATCATCCATCTCAATAGTCAAGCTAGTAGTGTGCTACTTAGTGCCTTGGATGGTGATGAGTATGATAGAGTGATTGGTGTGGACATTGCCAAGCAAATTTAGGATACTTTGCATCTTGCACATGAAGGAGTTGACAAAGTAAGAAATGCAAGAATTAATTTGTTGATGTCCAAGCTCAACCGATTTGTTATCTTGGATGGAGAAGGGCCACAAAATATGTTTGATAGGTTGATGACCATGGTGGGCAAG